TGTATAGGGTTTAGGTTGATTTGTGTCAAAAGTTTTAAATCAGCAGAGGATACACGTCCTAAGCCATCCGGGGGTAGCATATTGTTTTCCCAAATGGCGTAAACTTGAAAAACTAAAAAATGTGGTACGTATTCCGAACCATACAAAGAGTGAGAATTTACAAAGGGAATGCCAAAAAAGGAAAAACAAATGCTAAACCTCTATCATTAGCTAAAAGGCCAAAACCAAAACTGATGATTTAGCGAGTTTTGATTCTACAAATGTATATTTCCGTAGCCGTTGCAATGTGCCGCTGACCACGAAAGAACAAAAAGGAACACGGGTTTGCTGATTGAAGCACGGACTGACAAAACCCTAGCCACAGTTGACGTGGCGCCTGCTGCGGGCCGTGAGCGCACGATGCAAAACATGCGCAAAACCATGCGTATGACCCTGAAAAATTGTGAAAAAAATATGTGGAAACATCCTGCGTGTACGCAGAAAAGGAACCAAAGCAAAATGGAAACATGTGAGCGATTCTGCGCTTGCCCGCTTTTCATTTGTGAGAAGGTTCTTGCAAGAAACAAAACACTGTTTCCAACACGCCTATTCTTGGGCAACAACAATGGGGAATGAAACGAAACGGACCAGCGCCAAGCATGTGCACGAATGCGCGGTTAGTCAACTGTGGTTTTGGCTCTATCGGTTAGTTGTGATTGGTACAAGGAAAGTGTGGAAAAACACAAAATGCCACAATTGGGCCAATGAGATTTCCGGGGCTACAGCGCGAAACCAAATGAAACCAAAAGTCATGGTGTATCAATCCGCAGCAATTACTTCAACATGTTTATATCACCCATGCATCAATGCATTGTTAGCCCTTTGCATTTTGACACACCTTACCGGCGCGGATGACAGCCAAATGGGAGACCATAGTGCAAATTGCGAAGCAAGGAGAGCCGCTTGCAGCTCTTGATCGCACGGAACTTAATTTGTCCCCCTATCACGATCGCTTGAGGTTGTTAAGTTTAAATGCGGACGGGCACCATCAGCTTCCCGGTCGCCGGCCTGGGCGGGGTGTGTCCCAGTGTCTTGGTGGTGTCTTGGTGGTGTCCGCCGATGTCTCGGTGATGTCTTGGTCTCGGTCTCGGTACTGGCGTCTCGGTTGTTTCTTGCTGGTGCCTCGCTGGTGCCTTGGTTGTCTCTTGGTGGTGTTTGGCTGGTGTCTCACTGGTCTCGGTGGTGTGTCTTGGTGGTGTCTCGGTGGTTTCGGTGGTGGTGTCTTGGTGGTGTCGGTGTCTGTCTGTCAGTGGTTTCCATACTGAGAGAGAGAGAGAGAGATACGGTGTTCGCGGTGTGTTGGTCGTATCTAGGTGGCGTCCTGTTGGTGGTGTCGAGGCAGTCGGTTGTGTCTCAGTGGCGTTTCTCTGTTGTCATGCTGACGATAATGAATGCTGATGATGATGATGATGATGATGAGGACGATGATGATTTTGAGGAGGAGGATGATTGTGCGGATGGTGATGTGATGGTGATGGAGTTGGTGGTATTGATGATGACAATGATGCTGCTGCTGCTGTTGATGATGATGGTGTTGATGTTGATGTTGGTGTTGATGTTGATGTTGATGTTGATGTTGATGATGATGATGATGATGCTGCTGCTGCTGCTGGTGATGACGATGACGGTGCAGTTTTGTGTTGAGGCAGGGGCGGGACGGATGTTAACGTATGTTTGGAATGGAACTAACGCACTTGCTATATCTTACTTTCGCGCTTCTGCCCAAGCAACTGCACTGCGAGCATGCCCTGATGCCATGCAACAACCAGGGCTGTGGGGGGCACTAGAAGAGTTGATGATGTAGTTGCTCCATGCTATGCTTGCACCGGCAGTCTCACGCAAATTTACAGATTTATCAAAAGACAAAGTGCTGGAATAAAATTCAATTTGGAAAGGGAGGAACTAATTTCGACAGGAGGAAGGAAAAAAAGGGGCAGGAAGAAAGGAACAAAGAGGCCTAGCTCAAAAATGCTGCCTTCACCTTCCAATTTGCACATGTACTTTTGGATTCAAGATGTGGCAAGCTCCGTGAAATTTACAGATTTTAGCCGCAACACACTGCAATCACCATGCCGCTATGTGCAATGTGCAGATGACAATTTCAACATACTACAAATATCATTCCGCTTGCAGCTTCGAGCTTCAAGAAACAAACAAATGTCAATTTCAAAGTAATAGTTACAACGTGCTGCAAACACGATGCGATGCATTAAAATTTGCCCCCGTATGCTGCGCCAGCATTCTACAGTGTACAGACTTTTGGCTTCAGAATGTTGTCAAGCCAAAGCACCAAAGCTTGCAAGCATCATACAATTTGTAGATGTTAGCTTCGCACTGCTGCAAAGTATTGTGCGACGGCAAAGTTCTGCGCAATGAACTGATGTCACGTTGCATAATTCCATGCAGTGCACACGTGCCAGCTGCAAAATTTGCTCAGAGATTCTGACACCAAACGGCCAAAGATTGTACACAGATGCTTTTACACAGAGGCATGCTTTTGTACAGGATGCTTTTACACACGGGGGCTTTTGCACAGAGATGCTTTTCACAAAGACATGTTTTTATATACACATGTATGCACATACAGATGCTTTTGCCCGAAGTGCTTGTACACACAAAAATGCCTTTACGCAGAGGTGCTTTTACACAGTGATGTTTTTACACGGGGGAACTTTTACACGCAGATACGCAGGTACATCTACACACAGATGCTTTTACACAGGCATGCTTTTCCACAGGAATGTTTTTACACACATGTGCTTTTACACGGGGATTCTTTTGACACACAGTAGCGTTTACACACAGAAACTTTTACACGCATATACTCTTGCGCAGAGATGTTTTTACACAGAAATATATACATTTACACAAAGGTGTTTTTTACACAGATGCGTTTACACAGAGGCGTTTTTGCACGGATACTTTTGCACAGAGATGCTTTTACACACAGGTGCTTTTAGACTAGCACGCTTCTAGGCAGAGGAACTTTTACATGGGTGAGGCTGGAACCGCCACGTTGGGAAGGGTCCAAACCATTTTTTCGATCCATTCTTGCTTTTCGTTGACGCACAAATGATGCTCTTACTGAGAGATGCTTTTAAACAGGTGCTTTTACACAAGGTGGGGCCGTCACACAGAGATGGTTTTCACACAGAGAGATTATTCGACAAAGGGATGCTTCTAGACACAGTTGCTCTTACACACAGATGCTTTCAACACATAGATGCTTTTACACGCAGGTGCTTTAAGACACAAATTTTGACACGGAAATGATTTTTCAATCAATTTTTTTAAGACGCAAACGCGTTTACACACAGGTGCCTTTACACAGGGATGTTTGTGGACACAGGTGTTCTTCCACGCGAATACGTGTGCACAGTGCTTTTATATACACGTTCTTTTACGCATAATTTCTTTTACACAAGTTCTTTTACACAAAAATATTTTGACACACACACAGTGACATCTGTTTTACGCGTAGATACTTTGACGTGGCATGTTTTTTACAAACACACGCATGCTCTTTTACAAGGATGTTTTTTAGACGCTTTTACGCAGAGATACGTTTACTTACGCAAAGATGCTTTTACACAGAGATGCTTTCACACACAGAAACGCTTCTACATACATTTTTTTTTACACAGCGATGATTTTACATAAAGGAAATTTACACAGAAACCGTTACAAATACACGTGCTTTTACAAAGGAAAGCATTTATATACACGGAACTTTTTCATACGGACGTGTTTGCACAGATATACTTTTGAATGATTTCCGACTGCGGACACACATTTCGCGTGAAAGAGTTCAGCAAGCAGATGCAGAATCGCAATGTCACTACAGCTTTTGATGATTGAGAGGCATTTCGTGCTAAAGGGTTGCAGGGGCACAAACAAAATCGCAATATCACTGTGATTTTTGAAGCAATCGAATCGCATTTAGAGCGAGAGGATCTACAGTACGAAAAACAATCCAGAAACAAAATCCGGAATTTCACCCCACTTTTGACGATCGAGACGCATGTGGTGCGAGAGAGGCTATGCAAAACCATCGAAGGGCAACAATCGCAATTTCATTGCAGTTTCCGAGGATTGAGACGCATTTCGTTGGAAAGAGTTGACCCAACACAAACCCACATTGAAACTTCACTTCAAATTTTCACCATCGACATTTCGTGCCAGAGGGTTGCGTTTCGCGGACATCAATCAACGCCGCCCTGCCGCCCAGAGAGAAAATTTTGAAAAACTCTTGAAACTGTAGGTGCCTTGAACAAGTTGATCTCCACCTGCATCTTTACATTTGTCACTTTGCACCTGCATATAAACATTTTTTTGTAGCAGTTTTTGAAGAAGTCAATCTCCACCTGCGCCGACATATCTGCCACCCCATGCACCTGCATATATTAATTCGGTATTTGTCTTAAATAAGATTCTATGTGCATGCGTCTATGCACCTGCACCTAAACACTTGCATGTGCACCTGTGTAAGCAAATTATCTTAGTAGATATGCGAAAAATCATGCGCACCTGCATCTGCAAACAGCTCAAATTGTGAAACAATGAAAGTGAGGATGTCGAGGAATAATTTTTGATATTGATAATGATGCTGATGATGCTGCTGCTGATGATGATGATGATGATGGTGATGATGGTGGTGATGATGATGATGATCATGATGACGATGGTGTTGCGATGATGCTGTTGTTGTCACAGTGTTGTGATGATGGTGATGCGAGAGGATGGTTATGGTTATGGGGAAACAACGATTATGACAAAATATGCTGGCAACAACTTGTTGGGAAAACCTTTTGCAAGTCGTTTTGGGGATTGTTAGTGTCTGTCCTGGTGGTGTCTTGGTGGTCTCTCAATTGTGTTTCGGTGGTGGTGGTTGGTGCCTTAGTGATTCTTTGGTGGTGTGTCCGTAATGTCTTGACGGTGTTCGGTGATGTCTTGGGTTGCTCATGTCTTGGTGGTGTTTCTGTGGTGTGTTGGCGGTGCTCCGGCTGCGTCTTGGTGGCATTGAAGGAATGGCATTTGTTTGACTGAGTTGGCGCACCTGTCAATAGTAAATCGGCATCAAAGGAAATGCAAAACTTTGCTATTGGGGTTGTATGCTAGGTTAATTTTTGATGTTGTTTCCACTTTTTTGCGTTAAGTCGCACTGAGGTCTACAGCCTCTCATCCGCGATGTGGACCCATCATTACGATATGATGGACTGGAAGCCATGATTCGCATTGCTTTGATGGTCTATGCACGTGGCGATGGGGAAGAGGCAAGAAACACGGTCATTGAGAGTGATCTTGGAGCACAGAGACGTTTGTCAAGTTTGCATTTGGGAAACCCAGGTCTTCCATTGGCAATTGTGTTTTTTCGCCATGTACATTGCAAGCAAACGATCGGTTGTATAAGATGTGGAATGATGTGGAATGTGTTCCCGGTAGCAAACGGCAAACGTTTCATTGTTGATGGAGGTCGCCCAATGCTATGGCAAAATTTTCCGGCCTTTTGCTTCAAGGCGCCAAATGTTGCTCTTGATTATGAAATTGTCGAGTGAGTCGGGTGTCATTTGAAAATTAATTCTGCAACACTGCCCTGCCAGTGTTGGCGATCCGGACGAGAATGTCCGCGCCCTGGCGTTGGAGGGTATCTCATCAGTCCTGAAGAGAGGAGACCACGAGACAGGCGCGGGTCGTAGAGGTGGAAAACACCGGCCTTTGCTAATTGAGGGACTTTTTGTTGGAGAAAAATGCTGAAGGTTCATACATTGTCGACATGGTTTGCTTGCAGATTTTCTATTTTTGGTCCAACGATCTATTGAATCTATTGCCATCACCAAACATAAGTATCAGATGCACACCGCAGGCACATGAAATGGGAAAACGAACGACACTAAACATAAGTTGCAAGAACGTTTTCACCAATTGGACGATCAATTGCTTTGGCCGGGGTGTTTTTCATGGCTCAAGATACGGGAAGGTTCATTCAGTACGCTTAGCTGCTGTTTGCCGCGTGGCACGTGCAGCTTGCGATTACGTACTTGATTTTTAAGACAACAAAGTGCTGTCAGACAATGCCTTCCACTTTTTGTGTTGATTCCGGATGCGCAGCTGCAAGCAGTGAATGCATGTCAGCAGACAGGGACAGAGAGCGAGAGAATCCGGTGCAACTGTTTCTTGTTTTCAGTTTCAACTGGAGAAACCATTCCAGGAATTTAGGTTTTGTGAAGATTCACTCCTTTGGCAAAAGTTGCGTCCCAAGGATCTCGCAAGACTCGTGCGTTGCCGCTCCTAGCCTCTGCGAGTGGAGCAGTGGCGATCTCCCAGTTGCAACAGGCTTTCACCGCTTTCCGGTCCTTGCCTCCCAGTGACGACATTGAGAATCCGGTGTCCAGATCACTTCGAGGTCAGGGAGTCATTTTTCCGGGGAAAAATCTCATCACAGCAGTCCTGCAAGGAGGAGTGGTACCCTTTAAGTTTGAGGATCCATTGCTGAACAGCCCATGCCAGGTGCAGCCCAAGGACCTCAAGCAGCGAATGTGAGCAGTTCATGGACGCCACCAAGCTGCAACACAGAACGCACTTAGGGTAGGGAGGTGAACCCTCATGGAGGTGAGTAGCTGCATATTGCAAGAGTGGCAGGATTGTTAGTGGTTTAGGAGGCAAGACCGGGTTAGAAAGTCAGAACTTGCTACCCAAGCAGCACCCAATGGCCCAACCCTGAGGTTTTTAAGTGGTGCATTTGTCACCGCTGGTGGGGTCGCTGCAGCAAGGAGTCGCAAGGCAACCACCAGAGCAGTGGCAGGTCAAGTCCTCAGTTTGTTGATGGGAATCAGTTCATCGAGTTCTATGATTTGGGTATGTGTCCTGTCCCAGAAAGCTACTCTTGTTACACACACATTTGACATACCATGAGAGCCATGACATACCCCTTTGTCTCATGCTTTGAATCACGTCCCAGTCGGGCCAATCAGGTCCAGCTCCGTTGAAGACCATGACGCGGCCTTGCCGCGTGGCCCGCCGCGCCGTGGAAGTGGGGGACATCGGCAGCATGGCTCAGCTGGTGGTGGATGATCCGCAGATTGCCGTGACGGCTATGCATGCGGCCTCTCAGACCGCCTCAGAAGCCATGGCTCAGCTGATGACTCTCCTGGGCCCCGTCCAGCCAGCTGCCGCATTTGACTTGGCAGAGACCGGCAGCAAGACCTGGGAATCCATCGCAGGCTTCTTTTTCGATCCTCGACTCCAATGGGATGAGAACGGAAATGTCCTCCTTGATCCACAAGGCAATCCTTTGCCGGACAATCTTTGGACACAGTTCGTGGCCTTCCAAGCCACTTTGATTAAGCGCTTGGATGAGACCATCTCGGGGCTGGGCATTCCTCAATCCTTTGGTTTTGCAGTGGCCACCTATACCCTGCTCATCAGAGCCTTGCTGTACCCCTTCGTCAAGGGCCAGCTGGAGACAACGGCCAAGATTCAGATCCTAGCACCCAGGGTGAACGAACTTCGAGAGAAGTACAAGGATGACGAAGAGAGGTTGCAGCAGGAAGTTGGCTTGTTGTACATGGATTTGCAGGTCGATCCCCTTGGTGCAGTGGTGCCACTCCTGGTGCAGTTGCCGGTCTTTTGGGGTTTGTATCGAGCCATTCGCCGCCTGGCAATTGTGGAGTACCCTCATTTGAAAGATGGCTTCCTTTGGATCCCGTCTCTGTATGGTCCAAACTTCAGGCCTGACCCAAGCTTCGATTGGATCATGAACTGGGAAGGGCCCCTGATCAATCTGCATCCCAAGATTGGCTGGAGTGAATTCAGTCTCTATGCGATTCTGCCTGTGGCCATCTTCTTGTCCTACCGTTCTGTGATGTCAGAGGCCTTGGAGGATGAGAATGCCCCGAAGCTCTTGCAGTTCACCCCTTTCCTCCTCAGTGGTATCACCATTGAGCTTCCACAGGCCATGGGCATTTACATTGCGGCCAACATTGCATCCTCCTTTGCATTGACCAGCTACACCAAGAACCAGATCTCCTCCCAGATCCCCGGCTACGAGGAGTTCGTGAAGACCGGTGAGTGGCCGGAGGGCGTGGATGGGGAGAAGGTCTTGGAGAAGGCATTCGGGGTGAAACGCCTCACAGCTGAGGCGCAACAGGATCCCCAAAGCGTGCCAGAGGCCGTGTTCGCAGGGAGGGCCGACCACATCCCCACCTTGCTGAAGAATGGACGCAAGATCGATGAGTTTGACGACAAAGGAGCTGGGTAGCGCTGGGTAGGGCGAAATTGGCATAAATTTGATGGACGCCCTAGAAAGTTAGGGTAACCATGGGTAAACATACACTACATGGCATTAAGAAGCACATCATCACAAGACATTCTAGTAAGATGAAATAAGGCTTGGAACCTGCAAAACCATGGCCATTTTCGACCGAGCCCCAAACATGGATCCGCAGTCAGCCAGGAATCCCAGCCAGCATGTACACCTTGGCCTTGAACAACTCCAAGATGCTGGAGCAGCTGCTAGAGCTTGGTGCAGATCCCAGAGTTGTAGATAAGCGAGGAAACAACTTGCTGCACTATGCCTCGGGCTACGGTCGAGCAGAGTTTTTGCCTTTTCTGCTCGACAAGGGCTTGAAAGATTTGCTGGATGAGACCAATGAGGATGGGCAGACCCCCCTGGATGTGGCCAGGTTAAACCTGTCGCAGGCAAAGACCGCAGATGCGGTTCGCCCGGTGATTGCTCAACTGAAGGAGGTGGGAGCCAAGGGCAAGGTCACCAGTGATGATGACGAAGCCAGGTTTGAGAAGGCTAGAGAGGACATGATTCAAGAGGAGCAGGTGAAGAAGGCCAGATCTGCGCTGAAGGCGTTGGCCATGGCGGCTCAAAAGCAGGAACATGATGCCCAACCTGTTGAAGCACCGGAACATCCGGACGGCGACCTCCTGGATCAACGGGTGAAGTCACCGCTCAATGCTTCGCTGGAAAGGGTTCGATCGCTGAATTTGGATGAGCTCAGAGAAAGGTTGGGCGGAAAAATGTCGGAGGAGCAGCTCGAGAAGTTGTCCAGGAGACTGTCCACCATGAGCCCAGAAGACTTGGCCAAGTTCGCTGCAGGTTTGCCTTCTGTGAAGGCCGAGAAGGAGAAGAAAGAAGCGGCTTCCAGAGAGGAAGAAAGGACGCGAGAAAGTGTCGTGGCTGCAGATAAACCCAATCCCTTTGAAATATATTGAAATATAATATATCATATCCGATTTCATCCATGATGGGGGACGTCCAATTCGTCCAACATTGAAACTGAGACATGGAATCCTCCCAGCAGGCCCTACAGGCTGCATCCACATTTTGTAAACTTCTTCCCGAAATTCGCCGAGGCGTGATCGTGGACTGAGAGATGCAGCTACGCCGAATCGATGCGCTGCACAAATTTCTGAAAAACGTTCGTTGTTAAGTCCTGGTCAAGAGTGGGAGCCCCAAGCAACAATTCACAAGGCAAACTGGAAGATTCCCCAAACAACTTCCTGACTCATAGCAGGTCTGGGATTGCAACCATTCTTTCAACCTGTTCACCGTGCGATTGGTGCTTATAAGCTGCTACTAGCACTGTGTCATGTTTTGCCAGGCGATTTGGTGGCACCACACCTGAAGGACTTGATGGTTTTCATATTTTTCCATATTTTTCTCATGATTTCCGAGTCAGTTTCTTTTTTTTTGGCTGTTGCAGCACCTGAGTCTATCGTCATCAAATCGCTTCTTTACTCAGGACTGGCGTGGCGGGGTTCGCCGCACCGCGGTGGATGCGTTGGCACGGCTCTTCACAGGCGGCAGCGGCCCAACAAGGGGTACCATTTGGCATCCACTAAACTAGTCATCTAGTCCTCTTCATTCTTTAACAATTTTAACAGCTTTAACATCTTCAACTATTTTTAACAGTTTTAATGTGTCTGAATCAGTACGAATATTCCACAATGGGGGTGTTTATAAATAAATGCATATAAATGCTACTGATTTTGGCTACCCCCAACTTCACAAACGGTCCATGAATCTTGTGGGATGTTAGCAGGCGGCCTGGCCAAAGACAACGTTTTGACCAAGCTGGTAGATTCTCGGCTATTGCGACACCATGAGACAATATGAGACACGTGTTTTGCAAAGGTGTTTTGATGTCTTTTGCGTAGGCTTGCGAGAGTGTGGCTCGAAGTGGATTTTTTGGTGTAATCAAACCAGTGTCGATGATGTTCAGAAATGGCACTCCAATGGCTTTGCCGTGGCTTTGGATCCTCTGTAGCCAAGGCCTGTGTTGAAGACCAAGACATCGAAGTCCGAAATTCCACCGTGCGAACGCTGTTGGCAATATGTCCTGAGGGCAACCAGGTTGGAACATGCAGTTTGCAAGGTTGAGCTGGTAAGTGAACCAGGCAAGAAGATTGCAAAGTCCTACCTGAGCGGCCAGGCAGCCATCTCCGCTTTGATTACAAAGGTGAAGAACTCACCACGGGATGTGCAGGCACTTGCGAGTGAGGCCTGGAGCAAGGGATGTATTTAATTGTATTTATAGAATTGGCCATGCCATGCAGTGGCTTCTTTGTGCTTATCGAGTACCTTCTGCGTATGCAAGCCATTACTGTACTGGGACTTCTCCCCTGATGCATTCCGGAAGTTTGCGTCATCTGAAAAAACTTAAACACCCCAAAGCTATCGAAGGGACCTAACACGGGTTGCCGGTGAAAGTGACCAGTTAGTTTCACAATGTAACTCACTTGCTTGGATGGTCGCTGAACTTGGCATATGGTTGGTTGCTGGGTACATGCCTCATGTCTCCGATGTTTTGGAGATCGTGACCCAACTGCTCCGCAACAAAAATCCGGGATTACAAAACCTTCAATTTACTTCTCCGCGCAGATCTGGGCTGATCTGTAGGTCTTGGGTGTTGTGGCAAAGCCTGGTGACGTGAAAGTCATCAAGGGGTTTGCACTGATACTTCAGACGACTCTCAGTTGCAGAAGATCCCTCGGGGAAGACCAGATAACAGAACAGAAGCCAAGGAGTGATGATGCCCGTGTTCGGCGCAATGCGGCCATAGGATTGGGAAAGATGGGTCAGGGGCCCCAGGCAGTTGCGCAACTTGCTCGCTGTCGCCTTGTGATGGGGCATTTGATGCATGGGACTTCCATCGCTGACCATGTTGTGCAGCTGGCTTCTGTCACTGCCTCTGCATCTCTTGCCGAGGTCTGCAAAGCAACGACCCAAGCAAGCCCAACAAGTATGCGGAGGCGAATGTGTTGCAGCAGTCATCACAAGGCAATTATAGGCGGTTGATGTCTACGACGTGAATTTCAATAGATCTCAAGATAGGCACCAAGCTCCAGCACCGCGCCGCTGCGCGAGGTGTGTGTGGAAGCATTGTGTGCCGCGTTGGGCTGCACTCTGGACCTACCCATAGTGGAGCCTTGGTTTGCAGTCGTTCCACTGACAGTGGGCAGTCCTAATGTGGAACCAAGTTGACTATTGGGGGCTATACAGGACCGTGCGCAAAAAGGATGTGTAGCTTTGGGTGTGCCACGCCAGGACCTCCAGTGGATTGCAGACGAGCCAGCAAGGCGCCTTGCAGAAGAGGAGGCCCAAAGAGCCTGGAGTGTGCCCAGGCTTCAACTGGTTTCACGCGTTTGAGGAAACATGAAGATATCATGGAATATGCAGGCGATTGAGGAGTTCAGTGATACTTGCTGTGGTGAAGCCAAGGCCTCGCAAAATCCCGCGGAACAGAAGGAGGTTGATTCCGAGGCTGAGGCAGCTGGAAGATTTTCATGCAGAATGAAAGCAAAGCTGTAAAGAACAATCTGCAGATAGGCGCCATGAAGGCAGCCATGTGAAGCTCTCACAGACTCTACAGACTCTTGAGGTATACGACAGCCGGGCTGAAGCGAACGCAAGTGACGCGGATGTTGACCCAGGGCCAGTTCAGGCCGCCCAGCTGTACACCAGGTGCACTGTTGATACCGAGCGGCTGATGTCCAAGGTCTCACAGCCGGAGCAGTCTCCAGAAAGTGCTGAGCCAGGCGGGTAGCACAGCTGAAATCACTGGCTTGTTACCAATGGCGAATGACTTGGGAAGCTAAGGAACTCAGGCGATATGGAAGCCCAAGTGCAGTTTCATTCAAGAACAGCTCATTTGCATCCTACAATTTCAGATTCCTGGGCGGAGCCTGTCAGGCACAGATCAAGTGGCTGACGAAGATCAAATGCCTGCGTGGTTGCACTTAAAGCTGGTCAGTTTGCAATCGAAGTTTTCCGGGAAATCTCGTAGAACTTTGCATGTGAAGGTAGACAGGGGCCTGCTCCCACATCCAATCGGGACACAATGGACGTTTTGCCAGATGCTGTGCATGTTTAATGAGACTCGAGGCCAAGCACGGAGACTGATGATGCAGTTCCTCGTGCAATGGACTTAAGAGGGACAGACCAGCACAGTTACCACACGAGAATAGACGCAGCTGAGCTATGCTTTGTGATCCTCCCCTTGCGTGAGGTGGATATCAGGGCATTTCCGCTGGGTGAGCTCTATCCCCACCTTGGCTTTGCTGCTCGGCAGCCATTGGGTGTGACAACCTGTTGCATCTTAGCTTTGGCATGCGGAACCCTATGTGGTGGGATCTGAGGATTTGTTGGGGGAGATTCAGAAGGAGCAAGATGTTGATGCTGCCCTTTGGTTTTTCTTGCGCAAATTTTGTAGCTGTGCAAAGCCAGCAGAGATGCTTGGAATCCAGGACTCAGATGCCTCAGTACGATACGAAGCGCTCTGCTCCCTGCAGAAGATCGTAGATCGGGCCGGGGCATCAGGGTTGCAATGCATTGTAGGGCTGAAGTTCCTAGGACTTGCGGTCACACTGCCTGTATACAGATTCATGAGAACCAGATTCAAGAGATAATATTAATCAGATTTAATCAGTATCATAATAAATCATTATCGCTATAAGTAGAAATATGATGCATTACCTTGCCGTATTGGTTCCTATTTTTTCCGGTTCCTCGACATTCCGTGCCCGCAGAGCATTGCAGGGCGATCGCCGTGTCTTGGGCGCTCTGCTGGTGGCGCTGCGGGATCCAGACCGCGAGGTCTGCTGCAGGGCTGTAGATGCCATTTCTTCGCTCTACGACTTCGTTCCGGGGGACCTCACCCTGGTGCCGTGGCATGCCGGGGAAGCCATGGAAACGATGGCGGCGAACATGTGCTCCAGGTAATATTTCCAGATGGAGTATAGAATATCCGTGAATATGCTGTCAGGAATCTTCCACTTGATCCACAATCCACACAAACTGTCACAGATACTTTCTCTCCCTAGCTGTAGCTGCGTGTTCGCATGGAACTGGCACAAAGATGTGCCCCCTATTGCCTTGCCAAACCATTTGTTTGTCATGTTAATGGGGTCTATGTGCACATTGCCGCCGTTATGCAGAATGACTCCCAAAATTGCATGATCTCGTCTTTTTGCAAGAGCCTGCGCATCAGAAGCTGGACTATCACCTTGGTGAAACATCGTGAAACGCCCTATCTTGATTTTGATTGCATTCGTTTTTTCCTTTTTAATGATCGTACTGCCAGCTCACTGCTTACTGCATCACTGGATATTAGATTGTGGGACAGGAGGTATGGTGATTTCCAGGAGCCTTTGCCGCTGCAATAGCAATCTTGGATTCAAAAAGGGCATTGTTTTAAAAATCAAAAGGCGGCTCCCCCAAACCTGTGATTTCCGAGGGGCAGTTCCACAAGCTGTGAGGTCATTGCAGTGGCCCAGATGCTGATGCAAGATAGCACCGGGTTCCTTGGCATGTCTTGCAGGTGATGTCATGTGGGTTACCATTTGATGTTTCCACTCCCATCACTTCAGATCCTGGGAAGGATTCCACCTGCATCTGAGGTATGGCAACATCAACAACCGGAAAGCTGCCCTGCAAGCACTCCTGCGAGCTTCGGAAGTGGGAGATGAAGCCATGGTGGCTGTCTTGGTCCGTTGCTTGATGCAAAATGGGAGCTGCTTGATGTCCCAGATGGGAAAAGGTTTTCCCTTCTTTCTGGGATGTGGATGGTGGACCCCACAATTTGCAACTCCAGATCTGGGGGAAGTCAACTTCCAGACCCACTGGGCTGTCTGATTCTTCTGAAGAGTTGTGGGCTGTGCCAATCTCAGGTCACTTGGAAGCTATGCGAGATCTGGGTTTGGATGCTGGCGCCGGCGAGCGCAAGCTGTTCCTGGGCTCATGTGGCGGGTTTCACTATTGCACTATATAGATCTATATAGTATATAGTAATTGGATGGGGGATACTGGCAGGATCAGGATCTGGTAGGATTCGCTTGTGAAGGCTGAAAGTGTGGCCAGATTGCGCTCCGAGGCTGTTGGAAGCGCTGCAGTGCATTGTCCCTGAGGTACGATAAGAACATGCCTCCGGAGAACCATGGGATAAGTTTCTGTTAGGGGGTTCCGTTTTGCAAAGGAAGCTTAGGCTTAGTAAGCTCCAAAAAGAAAGAGAACAACAATTTATATACGATGATTTGCCATCATTTACCATCATTTTTAACTATTTTAACTTTAGGCTTTAGAAATGGATTGTGCAGAAAATCATCCAAAGTTTGCACTGCTGCACCTCGGGACTCCAAAGTTGTAAGCGGCTGCGCCCTGACACCACCAGGAGTGGAGATCGGAGCTGGAAGATGCGTTGGTGGCCTCCCTGGAGGATCCGACCGCTGAGGTGCCGTGAAAAACCTCCGTTGGGTGAGGATTCTATTGGGGTTTCAACCCTCATTTTATCCTCTGGTATATAAATTAACGGAGACCCTGCTGCCAAATAGGGGTTGAAAGTTGAAAGAATAATTTCTACTAAAACATTTTTTTCTCCTATATTCATTTACCGGAGGGTGTGTATATACATATATATATATATGCATACACATATGTATTAACACCAATAAACATTGGGATAGATAGGAAAATCATTGATAAATGAGAGGGGCTTCAAGCATCAAAGATGGTGGGGATGTAAGTGGATATAATTGATCAATGATGGTTGGTTGATGCTTGTAATTGTACTATACATATATGATTGTATAGTGGTGGTTATCTCATACAATGATAAACATCGTTGGAGGATTGTACTAACCAATATATTGGGAACTATCACAATCCATGAGTGGGGAATAATCAGTAGGTAGCAATGGAGACGATTACTATATAGTGATGGTCATTTATTGAGTATCTATTTTCAAAAAGGATCAAATTGATTTTAGTTAGCATCTAATTTTTGGGAATGCGGTATGGCAATGGCGAACTACCGCGCGTCCGATGATGCTCTCACACGCACACAACTATTGGTCGATATCTCCTGAGGGTTGCTACCTGTGATGTTGGCGTCATATGATTGGTTTGATCAAACATTCACAGGTAACAGGCATGCTCGATGGAAGTCGCAATGGGGAACAAACATGATCGCCATAGATTTATCCTTGCATCATCCAAATGATGGTGACAACTTGTCTGAAAATGTCATGTCAGGTCCGAATTGCTGCCCTCAAGCTTTTGAGCTCTCTAAATCCGGAGCCTGTGCGCGTTCGGGCAATCACCAAGCGCCACTTTGCCGAAAATCACCCAGGTGGAAATAGGTTTGTCCAGAAATGTGTTATATCCCAAAATGATCTAAAATTTCCATTTTGATGCGGAAAAAAGAAGTGTAAATTTTGGGGCACCGTATTCTTGGACAAACCAATATCCAGGTGTCAGGACGATTTGAATCGGTTTAATGAGCAGACAATTTAAAAAAAACGACTTGATCTTGCAAGTCCCCCGGATTTCTATTCTTGTTTTCCGTAATCCTTTCCAGGTCGTTTTTAATCTTCACAGGGTCATGGGTCAAAAGTATCCACCTTGCAAATTTGTGCCCATTCCATCCCATGATTGGTTGCTATCATTTTCCATTACAAACACCTGCATACAATAACAATAATACCAACAATGATAAGAATGATAAGAGTAATAAGCATCATAACAATGATAATCACAAGAATATGGTAATAACAATATTAATGGCACTATTTTCCCAACGAAACAGCATAAAACCAATCGTTTTTTAATGACTTCTGAGGTCTGCGAGACAGACACCCAGAAGTGAAGGCCTTGGCTGCTGAGGCCGGGGCGCCATGATGGGGTGGTGATGGCACGTTAGATTATATATATTATATATATTATATTTATTATATATATATATATATATATATATATATATATATATATATATATAATATATATAATATATATAATATATATAATATATATAATATATATAT